TTGTACATGTATATGAGTACATGTATGTAATAGATATACCGCACCTACTCGGGCTGTATCTGATTTACAGGCACTGACCACGAGGGCGCGTAGTGCCCGAGTGGGAGGTGCCTGTAAATCAGATATAGCCCGAGTAGGCGTGTTATAGGTAATATATATCATTTTGAGTGGGCGGATTACGTTATACGCATGCACAGTAGCTAGTAGACTAGCACATGGCAAGAAGAGAAAATGGCTACCTCGACAAGCAGCAGTCCTCCTCATTCAAAGAACTTGAAAGAAGCATCACTTTAGTTTACAAATGAAGAACCATGTAGTTACCAGTGAATAAAGTGATCCAAACCCGCCTAATTCTGACAGATTAGGAGTTATAGACTCAACACTCAACGGGCTATGGTCAACTACACACAATAGCTGGTGGCAGTGCCATTGTAAACAGTCTCAGACTGATGATGACAAGCCACCCGAGGATTAGTCTCGCTAGCCAGACCATTCCCCAGCCTACAGTCATTGGTATGAACCCCTGCCGTCCACCCCAATGACTGTAGGCTAGGGAATGGTCTGGCTTGCAAGCCTACTACCGGAGGATATCGTGAAGCCCGAGTGCTCTGTTGAATTGCTTATCACTGGCTTCCATAGTATCGCTTGAGCTTATTCTTTTATTGATTAATATAAAAGTTATTTAAAAATTAACAGCTAGTGCCTGTATCAAAGATAAAAGGCTTATACAGTTACTTGTGGTTAGCTACATGCAACTGTATCACATATATAGCACCTGTGGTAACTTTGATCCACCCACTCAAGATGATATATATTAAATTAACAGTATAAGTAATTCAAATATTGCTGTACAGTAATTATTATTATACTCACTGATATTAAGGAATCTTGTATGACTGAGTAATAGCCTATCCCATATTCCTCCAAACTCTATTATCCAAGTATTGGTTGTATCTTCATTCCAAACTGATAGAGAATGAACATCTCTAGTTTTGACTGATTCAGGAACATCAACCTAATAATAATAATAATAATAATAATAATAATAATGATGATGATGATGATGATATAATGTGCATGTACATGGTATGTATGTGACTATGAGTACATGTTATATGACATATACACATGTATAATGTAAGTATGTACATATTATCATAATGTGTTCTACCTTCTTCCAATTAGTTTTGTTAATATCAAATGTCTCACATTCATTGCCACCAATAGCCAATAGTTTTAGTCCTGAAGGACTATTCAGTAATACACTATGATGACAAGGCACAAACCACAAGTCATCAGCTATAGCATTTCTTTTAAAAATCCTTGCATAAACCTAAATGTACAATGAGACTAATAATTAATTATTTTACTCATATTATACTCATTATCTATTAATTATCATGATTATTATTATATACACATACCACTGATCCTTTAGTAAAGGTAAGACGATAAACAGAATTTTTTGATATATCATTATGATCATCTTGAAGTACAATAGCACTGGTATCATCTACTGACATCAAATTAAAGTGTATAATTTCAGTAATATCATCTCCAGTAACTTTAGGTGAGATCCACTGACCTACAGTAATTAATTAATTAATCAATTAATTAAAGTTATTAATTTACCTGTAGCAATTCTAAAATAATGAATAGAATATGGTTCAATTATTACAAGGTAATCTTCTCCCTCAATCTTTATAGCAATCATACCACACCCATTCTTCTTCTCAGGACCATCCTTAGGATTAGTAGGTACAACTTTCCTCCATTTGAGAGTATCAACATTTAAACTGTACAGAGCATTATCATCATAGTGGAAATGACTACAATGTCCTCCATAATAGAATATCTCATTCCCAATAGCAACAGCTGCATAACCAATGATACCCAGTGGAGGATCACCAGTGGTAGGTTTCTGCTCCCACCTACCAGTCGGAAGGTGAAGTACCTCCACAAATGATGAATCTCTTCTCTCTATCTCAGTATTGTGTTCTTTAGGATGGCCACCTTTATCCCCACCCCACATATAAAGACAGTCTCCTACTATTACTGTAGAATGATAGCTTCTCTCAGCAGGTTCATAGTCTATATAATAGCACAAACTATCAGTCAAACAATATTTATCATAAATTATAACTTATTAACCTTTTACAGTGGCCCTGGGGACTGCTTTTGCTAACTTTAGAGCTGCCATTTTGTTTGGGATACGCCTTGTAGGTGTGGCCAATACTTACAAACCACGCCCAATTATTTAAACAAGCCCCACCTATTACTTTTTTCTGCAACCTTCTCTGTATCTTGTAATTGGTTCTAGTTTTTGCCAGTTTCATCCAGACATGAAGGGGGTTGATGGTTATGAACGAGGCCACTGATATTGCCTTCTATTCGGTTGACTCTCAGCTCCGGGCGCACCTGCACAGGAGAATGGAGATACTGGAAAACTCAATTGGACAAAGAGTGGGGGCAGAGAGAAAAAGAAAAAAAGATTATTATATTTATTTATTTATTGTAGGAAGAAGAGGAAGATTTGAGAGGATTACTGACTACCTTCTTTGCTCCTCTCACCACATCCTTTGTATGTTACACTGGGTCAACATGACTGACTCCTATTCCCCATTCACTTGTACATATTCTCAGTTTACCATTCCTTTAAAACCCGAACGACTTATGAATATACACATTATAAACATTGCTCTAATTTTATTGGTATTAAGATAGTATTAATTTTTAATGCTATACAGTATATACTCAATGAATTATTGTGGGAATATTTTTTGTGAATACCAAAATTTAAACATGCAAAATTTTAAGTTTATCTACCTACTTTAAACATACATACATGCATAGAATGTATTGCAAGTGTTAAGTATGGTGGGGAATTTCTTGTTTTATACAGTGTATTGATTTGTTGTTGGAATTTTGTTTGTTTTTTTGCTCTCTCGACAGAACGTGCTCACTTCAATGAAGAAACCCCTCTTCTCTATTACTGCTGACGATAACTTTTTAATAGTTTTTAAAAAAGTAAGTTTTAACTATTATTATATTATCTCTTTCTTTCTCTCTCCTTTAGTTTGGTGAACATGTCTTTGTGGCTGTCAATGGCGACGGTTCTGAGTCTGAAGACTTTCTTGTCCGTAAACTTCATGTTTTCAACAGAATCATTGGACTGTTGTATGGACCAGTGTTGGGAAGGTACAATACTGTACTAGTATATCATAGTATATTATTGGTATATTTAGTCTGCATATTGCAGTATATTATTAGTATTCTATAGTATAATTTTAAACTGAAATTGGTCAACAACATTATTATTATTTATTTATAAAAATAATAAAGTCTACAAAATTAGGGAGCTACCCTGTATTAGAAATAATGAACAAATTTATTTATTATTTATTTATTTATTTATTCATTTATTAATTTATTTATTCGAAGAATGAATTCTCCTAACCTCCAGCAACGTGCTATGGAGTGGAAGATGTTGGACAGTTTATTGAAAAGCTACGAGATACTTTATAGCGAAGAACAGGCTTTTCTAATGGAGGTATGATAGACACACCCTTTTAAAATAAATAAAAATTAATTGTTGTTGAATTTGTAGGCAGTGGAACACATTGTATTTGGACAGTTAAATGCAGCACAAGACGTGTGTATTTCATTGGCTGAAGATTGTTTGAACTCATCACTCAAGTTAGCCATTTAATAGTTTAATGTGAACATAATTATATGATAATTATTTAAATACCTGGCTATATACAGTATTAATAATAATTTCAAATTCTTCTCTCTCTCTCTCCCCCTCTCTCTCTAGTGGTGGTATACCCAATATGAAGCATGTATTGCTACTGGTTGGTTCTAAAGTCCTTGCAATATGTGGGAGGTCACCTCAACTGCCAACTGCTGATCTGTTGCTATTGATACTAATGACAACCAACTTGTATCAACACGACCCATTCTTACAAGGTATCTTCTGTGTACATGTACATGTATGTCAAATAGTTTATTTTAACAATGTAACTCACATGCTGTAATGGTTATAAAGATCACCTTATCCAATGTAATTATATACAATATTCAGACTATACATGTACATATACTTATAGCTTTCTTGTTAAGTTCTTAGTACTATTATTACAAGCTTTTAAATCAACGTCAAAATTTTGACTGATAAGCCATTAAAATTACGATCTATTTTAGTAACTGCAGAGAAAGAGGAAGAGAATCATCAGCAACAAACTCCAGAGGTACAGGTACATGTACATATTGTATTTATCATTTTGTGTTTGTCCGTAGGAACGAGGTACACCCTATCAGACTCCAACCACTTCACCAAACATTGAGCAACCACCAACAGCTGCTAGTCTACCTACAGGGGCTATACCGATACCAGAGGGAGGGGAGGGAGGGAAGAGGAGCAGAGTTGGTAGAGACGACTTTCCACCTGTAAAGGAATTTATTTATGTATTTTAATATTCTTTTTTTCTCCTTTTATGTATAGTATAAAACACCAGATGATGATATACCAGTAAGTTATTTTTTCCAATTTTTGAACAACTTAGCAATTCGTAAAAAAATCTGAATTTGATCAGAATGAGCTCAAACTTTCTACACAACATAAGAACATGTATATGTATCAGAAAATGTAATAAAAATGAAGAATTTTATCCCTGCCATTTTTGACACAATACCCTGTATACATACATTATACTATTACTGAAGTCTATATTTCACTTTTAGGGTATCCATTCCCTAGCAGCTCATCCAAGTAAAGGATTTGGTGGTAAACTAAAACAAGCTTTTCTTGGAGGAAAGAAAGGACATCTTGACGACGGGTTGGATCCAGCTGTTTTTGAAGCAGCAGAATTTCAAAGATGCATGGAGAAGGTAAGCAATATCCTAATATAAGGCTTGAGTTCAATTTAATTTGTCACTGGTTGCAATGTTTGATTATTTAAACATTATTTTATGCATTTAATGTGTAGCTGCATTTAAATAATTATAAGTATATCAGTACAAAAAATAGCTGGCTAACCTCTTCAATTTTTATGCTTGTATATATTTTTATTGCAGTTCTATGAGAAGAAGGTATTTTTACAATTGAACCAGTCACACTACACTCCACACATGATCCACTGTATGGAGATATTCCCACAGATTGTAATAGTACTAATATCAGAGGTAAGGGAGTGAATTTAAAATTATGTATATATTAATTTTTTCTAATATTATCCAGTCTCCTTCCAGTGGCTTGGCAGCTACAATATGTCAGGGTCTGTCTCATTTAAAGAATATCCTGGCAATCATTAATGGCATCAAAAACTCAAGCACTAGCAGCAAAAACATGTATGACACTTTAGAAGACACAATGAAGTGAGTAACCTTTGATTCACATATGAATATGGTATGAATATATTATGGTATTAAAGGTGTGAACTCATGTACATTATATATGGTAGAAAATATATGCATGTACATGCATGTCTTTTTTGTTAAAGCTATGTGAAAATTGCCTACTATTTATACTAGAAATTTTTCTAATTTGACATTTGTTTTGTAGGAAGATTATTGAAGGCTCCAAATCAGAATCAAAAGTGAGTATATTGATCATTACTAATATCATTGATATTCTTTATATTAAAGCATTAATTGTTCATGCATTTCTCTATTACTTCATAGGCCCTTGGCAGTGAACAGTTGAAACAGTTTACAATGAGAATAGTGAAGACATGGGCCCAATGCAAGGAGCTACAGATACAGCAAAGCATAGACAGACAGCAAAAGGAAGAGAGAGAAATAACTAAGTAATGACTGATAGCCTAATAATGTATATGGGGTGTTTTTCCTTTATATATGTACGTATACATATATCATTTAATATTTTCAATATTTCTATCATGAATTAACATGGTTTGTTCTCTCAGGGTTTGTAATGTATTGGAGAAACTGGTGGATCAACTGATTAACCTTTTTCAAGAACTGTATTTCACTCCACGAGTAAGTTGCTTCAAATCTCAATCCTTTTATTACTAATATTATTTCAATTTGTTTAACAGAATAGTACAACTTTAAAATAAATGTTTTTCTCCTCCTGTAGGTAGCAGAGTATGATAAAAAGGCAGTGGTCTCACGTCTAATGAGACTCTCCAGTAAACTGAAGCTGGACTATGGTGACTATCTGGGACTGAAGGCAAGAATTAACCTACCTTTCCCTGGATATCCTCCTATGCTACAATAATAATAATAATAATAATAATAATAATAATAATAATAATAATAATAATAATAATAATAATGGTATCAACTCCTTAACTAACTGTCAATACATTGGGAATGGAGTATCCAGGTATGGTTCACTTTGCCTTTGTGGATCGATCATTTGACGAGTTGACATCACCAACAATCATTGATGATTCTGTAAGAACAGAAACCACATGATACTATATTAATACATGTACATGTACATGTATACAGGTAACGGCTTATGTGATAGATCGAGCAGCTGAGAAAGAGCAATCACCAGGAGACTTCCTTCGATCAAAGGTACATGAAATTTTATATGATTTTGGAGCCATTTTTTGAAAAAAACCATGGGCTATAGTACAGGGTATTTTTCTGAAATTCGGAGTTTTTAAAAAGTGGTCATAACTCGAAAAATTGAAGTCGGAATCGGCTCAAACATTCTACACAGCATAAGTACATCAATATGCATCAGAAAATGTAATAAAAATTGGGGGTGATTTCGGAGCCATTTTTTGGAAAAAACCATGGGCTATAATAGTACAGGGATTTTTTCCAAAATTTGGAGTTTTTAAAAATTGGTCATAACTTGAAAAATTGAAGTCGGAATCTGCTCAAACTTTCTACGTAGCATAAAAACATCAATATGTATCAAAAATTGTAATAAAAATGGGGGGTGATTTTGGAGCCATTTTTTGGAAAAAAACCATAGGCTATAGTACAGGGGATTTATCCGAAATTTGGAGTTTTTAAAAAGTGTTCATAACTTGAAAAACTGAAGTTGGAATTGGCTCAAACTTTCTACGTAGCATAAAAACATCAATATGTATCAGAAAATGTAATAAAAATTGGGGGTAATTTTGGAGCCATTTTTTGGAAAAAACCATGGGCTATAGTACAGGGTATTTTTCAGAATTTTGGCGTTTTCTTAAAATGGCCGTAACTTGAAAAATTGAAGTCGGAATCGGCTCAAACTTTCTACACAGCATAAGTACATCAATATGTATCAAAAAATGTAATAAAAATTGGGAGTGATTTCGGAGCCATTTTTCGGAAAAAACCATGGGCTATAGTACAGGGATTTTATCCGAAATTTGGAGTTTTTAAAAAGTGTTCATAACTCGAAAAACTGAAGTCAGAATTGGCTTAAACTTTCTGCATATCATCAAGACATCAAAATCGTCATTCCTTGTTTCGTAGATGTGGATGATGGTTCGAAAGGCTCAGAGTTACGTATCTAATGGCTACTCATCTCAAACTTGGCTGGACAACGACTTCCTCTACACTTACTGCATGTGGTTCAGTACACCTAATCCTAACCTAGGGGTGAGTATACTAACAATTTACTAATAATATACCTACACGACTTTAGGTCCCGTTGAAGATGCTCACTCCTATAAATATAAAAGCTCATCCTGATGAACCACCTGGTGTGCTCTGTGGATCATTTTATAGGTAAAGTTGACAGCTGCAATCCCTCCCTCCTTTTACCTCATTTATGATGCATAATATAACCCATACATCTGTACATATATGATGCATATTATATTAACGTATATTTCAAAGCAAATATATTATATGTAGCATAGCTGTTATTGCTGGTTCTATATATTTTGCAAATCATTCAAAATTAAGTTGTCATTCTGTTAAAATAATTTAGCATACATGTACATATAGAATAGAACCCATTACTGAATATAAAGTAGGAAAAAATAGTTGTATTTCAAATGCTTTTATTTCCTTAGGAACATTAAAGGTGGGACTGATGGGACCACCCCTGGTTATATTAATGAGATATATTGTATCCATGAGCCGAGAATAACCCTGGATGAAGCAACAAGGCAGTGCAGGGAGTTGGCCATCTCACTTTGGATGGACACCAAACAATCACTGGCTCCTTTCCCTCTTATTAATTAGAATTATTATCTTTAAAATGGCTAGATTTTAATATTAGTCATTATTATTATTGTAATTGAATATTGTTGATATTTTTGTGTGTTTTTTAAAAATTTTATTTTACAAAAATTTTAATTATAAAAAATAAATAATAATTAGTTAATTTGTATGGGTGTGGCTTAGGGACACGCACATTATTCGGGAATTTCTTTTGGAATAATGGGTGGGAAATTTAGAGAAAGAATAATGGGTTAAAATTTGCCTGCCTGGATCACGTGATCAGTATTTAACCCTTTCAATACTGCATGAGCATGTGTCAGCATCAGCAAACAGTACAGTACAATTTAACAGCACTTTACAGCAACAGCAATGAGTAACTCCACTGGAAATAATACTGAACAGATTTCAGGACACTCAAAGTAATTCACTTGAGGATTACATTGAGTCATCAGTAGTGTTACAATATAACCATGAATGATGATATTAATAATCAAAATGAATTTTTGGTATTATCAGAGCATAATAATGGGAATAATGGGCCAAAAAGGAGAGAATAATGGGATTGAGGAAGAGAATTGAAGAATAGAATTATAGGGTTGAAAAAAAGAATAATGTGCATGTCCCTAGTGTGGCTTAGTGTCTATGCCTATGGTAACGCCCACTCAAAATGTCTTCCAAAGGACTTTCATTTATTCGAGGCTCTAGCTTATGCTTCTCAGTTAGACTGAGCCGTTCCGCTAGCACAAAGGCAGCAAGACAAAAAATAGTCGTCCTTGGTTGCGGCTGGGGCAGCTATTCTGTCCTCCGCTCAGTAAATAAGAAGAAATTTGACGTCATTTGCATCAGCCCAAGAAACCACTTCCTATTCACGCCTCTCCTCGCAAGCACTACAGTAGGTCAGACTATAAATAAATATTTTAAAATATTTTTTACTATTATTTTTTATTTTTAGGTACCCTAGAATTTCGTAGCATTATTGAGCCGATTCGTAATACCGGTTTTAGAGATGAACATCATTTTCATCTGTCTTATGCTACTCATCTCGACCACGCCCAAAAAGTTGTCCAGTGTCGTAGTGCCCTGGACCCATCTATGACGTACCCGGTCTCTTACGATATTCTTGTGATTGGAGTGGGGGCTAATTCCAGTACTTTTAATATACCAGGAGTTAATGAACACGCCCTCTTTCTTAAAGTAATTATTACAGCTGGAGGGGAAGGGATACTGTTATTATAATTATTATTGTTGTTGTTGTTATCATTACTAGGAGATTCAAGATGCCCGTGAGATCCGAAAGAGGATCCTAACTAACTTTGAATTAGCAACACAGCCTCTCGTCTCCGAAGAAGAGAAGAGACGATTGTTACACTTCGTGGTGGTAGGAGGGGGACCAACTGGAGTGGAGTTTAGTGCAGAGTTTTATGACTTCCTCCAACAAGTAAGAACTTTTAAAAAATAGTTGTACTACGGATAACAACTGAACTACATGTACATGTACATACATGTATAATTTGTATATAGTACAGCTGGAAAAGTTTTGGCAAATTGCTAGTAATTGGTAAATCAAAATGCCAAATTTCCTCCTCCACAGTAACTGTACTGTACATGTATTAGATAAATTATAGTCCTTTTTATAATCTTCCTTCTTCCCTCTCTCTCTCTCTCCCTCTCTCTCTCTCTCTCTCCCTCTCTCTCTCTCTCCCTCTCTCTCTCTCTTCCTCTCCCTCTCTTGTAGGATCTTGAACGGTTGTACCCTGATGAAAGAAGCACAGTTCATATAACGTTAATTGAAGCAAATGAGATCCTTTCTTCCTTTGATACAAAGCTTCGCTCGTATACGGAAAAAATAATTAAAAAAAGAGAAAGAATGCAAATTCTGAAAGCATCTGTTACTGGTAAGCAATTAGAGGATGACAGGTGCAGCTTGTGAGGTGCAGCTGGATTAAATAATTCAAATGTTATTTTGATTTAAAAGTTATGCGTACCATAGTAACCGCTTTTGTATGTCAATTTAAAAATTAATTAAGAATGTACTACTCACTTTGAAGCAACTTTAAAAATTTGTAAAAAAATCCAATTTTGATCGGAATCAGCTCAAACTTTCTACACAACATAAGTACATGTATGTGCATCAGGAAATGTAATAAAAATGGGGAATTCCAACCTTTTCATTTTTGGCAAAATTTGGCCTGAAAATGCACTCCAATTTTTGCCTATTTTTTGATGATGCAGTAATTATTCCTCTACCTGTAGAAGTGACTGATACTGGAATTACATTAAGTGATGGCTCAGTGATGCCTTGTGGTATGGTAGTATGGTCTGCTGGACTAGCACCAAGGTACCTGTATCTACACTGTACAGTGACTATTATTATTATTTTATTTCTATTTTATTTCTCAGGAGTTTTGTTAATGATCTAAATGTGGATAAGAACAGTCGAGGACAAGTAAGACAAAGAAAATAGAGAACATCTCCCTCTCTCTCTCTTTTCATTACTTTATTCATTGTACACCTCACAGATATTAGTCGATGAATATTTAAAGTTACCTTCACTAGACAGTGTCTACGCCATTGGAGACTGTGCTTCTGTAATCGGCAATGACATGCCTTGTACTGCTCAAGTCAGTTTTATAAATAATTATTATTTATTATAATTTTATTTTTATTTAGGTCGCTGAAAAACAAGGCCGTTACTTAGCTAAAGCACTCTCTCGTAAAGCTTCTACTCCTCCTCCTCCCTTTGTCTTCAAGCAGACTGGGATGTTAGCTTACATTGGAGATTATAGAGCTTTAGCTGATACGTCAGTTGGAAAATCACAAGGTTTGTACTTTGAAATACTATGTGCATGATCTTTATGTGACAGTTGAATATTAATTTACAATTCAAAGATAATAAATTACTTTTATATTACCATGCAACTGTTTTATGATAAAGGAATAAATACTTCAATATTATTCAAAATAATCTTCAATATAATATCTATTTAAGATTTTAATACTTCAATATATTATCTATTATTTTAAAAGGATATGCTTCCTGGATATTATGGCGCTCAGCCTACAGCACTAAACTTGGCAGCTGGAGATTAAGAATGCAGGTTCCCATGGACTGGATGAAAACATTCTTCTTTGGGAGAGACACTTCACGATTTTAACTCAGCACTAATTTAAATTTCAGCATTATTAATTTTTAAATAATTATTATAATTAAAAATGACCGATTGAGTGATGGAGGTTGCACAGTAACAACACGACAACATAATGGAAAGAAATGAGAGTCTTTAAAGGAGAGATTGATGAATGACAATAATAATAATAATAATAATAATAATAATAATAATAATAATAATAATAATAATAATAATAGTAATAATAATAATAGTATATGTGTGTGTAGACGCTGTGTTCTGGTAGTGCAAGAAGATCTCTACTCTTCATTACTCCTCATTACAATATATCACTCTCTTTATAATAAGGTTTAGAATCGATGACTATAGAATCAAGTTGAGCGGCAGCTTGTCCCGGTACAGTGGTAGCCTCCTGTAGATAATTAACAGAATAATGCACATCATACTCATACTCCAGTATCATAGTAATAACAAGAGAAGTACAAAGGGCACAATGTATGAATAGTATTAAAGGAATGTACTGGTGTGTGTGGTATAGAGCTACACTATAATACAATTACAATGTCCATTATAATGTACAGTACAAGGATCTACTGGTATAATGGATAAGATGCTGTATATGTTATAGTTAAGAGCCTCAAATTGATTCATCGTACTTGGTTTTCTTGGCCAGTAAGATGGTCGTACTCTCCACTGCCGTATCGAGTGTATCTCAATGGAGGAAAGGACTCAGCACTACCGCTGCTAGTTGAACTGGATCTACTGTTACTGGCTTTACTGTCTTGCTGGAGGACTAATATCTGCCTCTACAATAAAGATTATAAAATAATGAGAATTGATTTTAAGATTATAATAGTCTGCCGTGACCACATCAAAATCTACTGTATCAATCATTCTCTTACTTTGTTCAATGGTGGTTTGCTAATAGTATCATCATCACCTTCGTTATCCTAATAATAATGATAATAATAATAACACAAACTCATGAATTATTCAACATTCAAGCGTACTTTTGGAGGAGTCATTGCTATGGTAACCGGCTCCGTGGCAACCAGCTGTGGTGAATATTTAGATCTGACTTCTGACGTCTATATAATTACAAAAATGATAAGTATATTGTTTATGATTTAGAATAATGGGGAGCTAGTAGTTCATGTAACTGTTTTGAATTTTTATGAGTGCAGTATTATTAATCAAATATGCAAGATAGTTAGAATTGTGATGAAAGTATAAACAATAAATAGAATAATAAAAATAGAATAAAATAATAGGATAGATTATTATACTAACGTATGATGGATGTACTGTCATCAGTTCGGGTGAATCAGTGTCTACTGTGCTGCTTCTAGCAGTTTCAGTAGCTCTTCTGTTGCTGCTAAAGAAAAAGAGAAAAGTATAATATTAATGAAAGGACATAGCTCCACCCTTGTGTACAGGGGAAGTAAGATTGATACAAAATAAAAGAAAGAACCAAATTATTCTAGCTTTGCTCTTTGCATGCAGAAGGATGAAAAGGAGCAAATATACTATCTAATAGCTCAAAAATCATTCACCCTCCTCTCTTTTTCTTCTCCACTCTCTCTCTCCTCTCTCTCTCCTCTCTCTCTCTCTCTCTCCCCCCCTCTCTCTCTCTTTCTTCCCCACTCTCTCTCTCCCTCTCTCTCTCTCTCTCACCTGTGGTCCATAGGCACTGACTGAGATCTATCGGAAGTGATTGTAAGAACTCCTGCAAAGAGAACAATTAACATACTCCTACAATTATTATTATCAATTTATCCCATAAACTAATAGAAACAATTACAATGCAAACATACACGAAAATATAGAAAAAATCATAATGACACATGATAATAAAAATTATGTCGTTAAGGCATAAATGGACATACCTCCTTTGCTATGGCATCTGTTGTATATAAACACAGCAACTAGTACAGATACTGCAATCAGTATCACTAGACCAAATGTTCCAACTAGTATGCCAGCAGTCCTTATTACTGTAGCTATAAAACAACAATAAATAATAATAAAATGATTACGTTAAGTTAATTATACACTATAGCACATAGTTTAAGAGCAATCGAATTGGACGATTTGAAAGACAATTTACTAAAATAGAACAACTAAAGCTATCACGCTTTGCTTGGTAGCCAAAATTAAAAGCCACCAATCACCATTAATTTAACAACATTAAAATAATTCACTAATACAAGATATGCATGTAGTCTTACCAGAATCATTCACTCCAGTATTTGATGGTACAAGTACTGTCACCGACACACTACCAGTCTCTGGACTATTAGTGACACTGTACTCTGTGGTAGTGCTAGTACTCACTACGACTGTGTGTGTGTGTGTTTGTGTGAGAGAGGAAGGAAGAGGACAAAAGAAATGACAAACATATGCCAAGAATGTATACAAACTACATGAAATGAATACTACAGAGTATGACTCTGATGTTTGTTAATATTGTTATTGTCCAAGCCACATTCCTTTCATTTCTCTACTGCTTACCGGTTGGTGAAGGACATGACAGTCCTTTGATAGCCACATCAGTTAAAGTGAGGGACTTTTTATCACTGGGAGATCCATCAGATTCAATATCGTAAGCAGAGACTCTATAAGTACCCGAGTATAAGCCAGCTATGCAGCTGATGAACGATTGTGGATCGTCAGTCGATGGAATTATTGATAAGTTTGCTGACTGTACTAATGAGCATTGACCTGTAATAGATAATAATAATAATAATAATAATAATAATACATAGATAATTTAAAATTAACAATAATATTATGATATAATCTTAATCTATAATAAACATTACAAAATACAGCAAAATATGCTAATACTAGAGTCATATTACATATACATTGTGTATTGTCATGTATAGTGATCAGTATTAGTATTATATGCTTACTTTGATCTGGTGTCAGCACTAGGTGACAACCCAGAGCTGAGCTGTTGGTTGATAATAAACACTGGAAGCAGATCCTCCCTTCATCACTTGTACTGTTAATAATAGTAACATTCTGAATGTCATAGGTACCTTGAAAAAGAAAGAGAGAGAGAGAGGGGGGGGGAGAGAAGGAGGAAGTCATATGTCAAGTGAGGGGGTCAATTTTATACATAGACAGAATATCAGATTTTATAAAAGGCATATCTCATGAATAATACATAAGCTAATTATATTAATATAAGTAATGAATGTCATTAATTTCAATTAATGTATTATGAAATGTTTGGATGTTGTAGGTATGTCATCAGACAAAACAAGGATGGACAAGCCATCTCTAGGGACAACAACAATTTATGCAAACAACTCACTTAGCACAATCCCTCCCACACTGTCTCCTCCAAACCTATTGCTTAAAGTAAGCTCGAGCGAGATTAGCCTATCCGGGGGTAAACCTTGTATGGAGAGAACCACTTGAGAGCTGTTATCGGGGATAGTGAGGATTGTTTGGTAATGGCTCGATAATGAGCTGCTAATTGCCGTGATGTTTTGATTTGTAAAACAACTGGAAGTCACCTGAGAGTTAGATAAAGAGAGAGGGAGAGAGAGGGGGAAAGGAGAACAGAAAGTATGTGTATGCAAATCAGTGCTGTAATGTAAAATCCCTTGATAGCCAAATTAGTAGTAGTCACAATATTGAGGGTGTTATTACAACACCATGCCATGTGAAAAGTATGTCACACATGTAAGTATTAATAGTTGGTGAGTATATATAGGGTGTAGGGATACAATATGGTAGTATTGATGACTCTTGAATCTAATAATAACAGTTTGTATAGGTATTGTTCTGTGTCTTACTGGAAAATGAATCAATGCTTCAATGTCTCCTTCACTTTGTTCTGCTATGTCATATACCAGCACAGAGTTTAGCATTGGAGCTTTGGGTACTAAAGAAATAGAGATTATTATTATCATACAGTATTTCCCCATGATGGCGGCAAGAACATAAAATGATACATAATTCAGCTGCTACTGTGAACAAGATTATATAATTCAGCTGTATTAACAAAGCTCATCAAAGTAAAAGGGTAAAAAGCCTCTTAATTCTCTTTATATTAACCTCCTACTTTCTCCTATGCCTCTCTCCCACTTCACTCCCACTTGAACTGTATGGATGCATAAGGTAATAGAAATCAATGGAGAGAATGCAAAACATCCACAGTACAATAGAAAGGATGATACAGGCATAGCTACATACCAAATAATCTACCAAGCAAAGAGTACCGGGTACACATACAAATTATGATAGTGTAGAATCCATGTACCATGTACATGGATTTGATTAACAACAAAGACTTCTTTATCTTACCACCAGAAAAGAATTTAGTCAAGGAAGACGGAGGACTCACTCCTACTCCATTCCAAGGCTGCACTGTGAACGTGTAGGTAGAGCAAGGGCTGAGAAACTCTCTGGTGCTTATATTGAAACCGTTCACATTACTGGGAGAGAATGAGTGGGCGTGAGAACTATTGCTAAGGGTGACATTGTATCCAATGTCAAGTCCGTCGAGGGAAAAAGAAGGTACCCATGAGAGGAGAGAGACGTTGGGTCCATAGTTTAAAGTTAGATTGGTCACTGGAGCTAATAGACCTGTATGATGGATGATGAGGTTGTTTGTGTGTGCGTTGAGTGGGAGAAATAATCAAGGGAATATAAACTGGTAGAAATTCAAATAACAGAATTCCACAATAGTTGCTCTAAAAATAATAATGGACTTATTACAATTTGGTGAAAGCTTGCATTACTCACGTATATACATAAGGAAATCTAAAAACAACAAAATGTTCATTTTTATGCTGCATTTACAGTAAAAGCTTTGGAGACAATACACAGCTAAGCTGGAAGGCTACAGCACTGAGTACAGTAGTACAGCACTCTCTCATGTTTAATGATACTTACCTTGTATCCTGAGGTAAGCCAAAGGAGAATCAATTCTCTCAATATGATAGGTTAGTTTATTGACGGCAAATACTGTGCAGAGTATTAAGCTATTGTTGAGCTCCTGCTTTGCAGTGAAGGTAAGTGTAGAGAAAGCGTAGCCGATCTCGCTTGTATTTGCCTGCACAACCTGAAACTCGTCGGATGGTGGAATAGCAGAATTGACTCGCCATTGAATGGTAGTAATAAAGGATGATGAGTTTGGGCCTCTGCCAGAGCAGGTAAAGTTCACTGTTGAGTTTAAGAAAGCGTTGAGAAGAGACGGGCCCATAACAACTTCTGGAACTACAAGTAGAAAGATAGCTCTGATAAACTAGTGACTAGCGGCTTACCTGCAGCTTCCACTCCAAGAGAAAGAAGAGCCAGTAATAGTAAGAACATAGTGAACTGCATGATGACCAGATTAACCTTAAACTACTGACTCGACCGAGTACTACAACAAGTCTACAATTTCTTTTAGCTTTGATAGATAATTTTCAACTTTATATCAACTGCTGACACACAAGGCGGGTTAAGCTGAGCCACACCCACAAACTTTTGCACAATGTCAACAAAGGGACAGCAGTGAATATTGTTATATAACAACATAATAATTGCAAAGATATTTTTTATTTATAATTGTCAAAATATTTTAATTTATGCGCTGTTTTTTTGCTGGTCTAGTATCAACAGGAATAGCTCTGTGAACCTAAAGAAAGCAGAAGGAAAGAGTAGTGAAAAGGAAGATGGCGAGAGAAAGCAAAAATGATTTAAGAGGAAGAGATATATATTAAACATTACCTGTGGTTTAGTGTTTCTAAGATGAGGATACGTTGGCATCATACTCGGTTCTACAGGCAGTGGGTTCTCATTGAAATACTTACACCTTAGTGCTCTCGAAGAACTCATCCTATACTCGGGATTGTAAGTCAATAAATCGTTCAACAAGCCCCGCCCAGTCTCCGATATCCAATAAACCTTCTCCTTGAGGTTATTGTACGGCTGCCGTTTGATCTCTAGCGACGCGACGAGTGGTAGCTTAGAGTACCCTGGCCATATACCTTCGTTTGGGCTACCGATTAAATTAGTTATTAGTTCTATTTGATTTGCTTCAGATTTACCAGGTAACAAAGGTTTGTTGAGCAATAGTTCGCCGAATATACATCCAACTGACCACATATCCAGTGAGCAGCTGTACTCACGGCTGCCGAAAAGAAGCTCAGGTGCTCGGTACCAGAGCGTGACAACCGTGGGTGTCAGCGGTTTTAGCGGACGACCAAGAGTTCTTGCAAGACCGAAATCGGCTATTTTTAAAATCCCTTTGTCTGTTAGGAGGAGATTGGAGACTTTGAGGTCCCTGTGTATGACATGGTTGTTGTGAAGGTAGGAGAGTCCCTCTAACAGCTGGAGCATGATGCATTTAACCTGAGGCTCAGTAAAAGGAGAGGCCATGTTATCAATAAGGCTAGCCAGGTCCTGCTCACAGTAGTTCATGACTAGAAACATGTTGTCTAGTTCTCTGCCAACAGCAATCTCCTTCAGCTGGACTATGTTCTCGTGGGAGAGGCTCAGGAGGAGTCCTATTTCCCTGACGCTGCATATAGGGAGGCCTTCCTCCTCGTTCTCCATCCTGATCCTTTTCAGTGCGACTATTTCTTTAGACTTCTTATCCTCAGCTCTGTAAACGACTCCATAAGTGCCTTCTCCTATTCTGTTGAGCTTATTAAACTCATCCACTGACCGGCAACTACCCAGCACGTCCTTACAAGCGAATGGAACTGGCTTGAGAGTCGAGGGGGACACTATGGTTCCCTTTGAAAGAGACTTCTTGCCTTCTTTTGCCTCCATTTTATACGTTTAATTAGAGACAGGAGCCTAATGCGGTATACCACGTGTTTTCACGTGTCAAGTTAGATCAAAGGAGGAACATCAGGATCATCAATAAAATCATCTGATACAGGTTTAAGAGGAGGAGGAGGAGGGGAGTCACTAATAACATGTGTCTCGCTCTCTTTCACAATATTAAAAATGGACGGTTTGTCCTGAGACACTTCTAACAGCAAGTCTGACTGGGCTTGTCCTGTTCCGATGTCTTTCTCCTTGTTCTTGGATTCTTTAGTCATTGTCTCATTCCTTTTGGGTCTAAGAACAGGCTTGGACTACATGTAACACATGTAACGGATGAATACGGTCACATCTGCCAACAGCATACCTTAGGCATTGTCACCAACAAGTGACCAGTTGTTTGTGATCTCTTAGCTTCGCTTTGATCAGGAGAAACCTCTTCTTGTAATACCAGCTGTAGGATCTGTTTAAAGAGGAGGAGGGGGAGGGAAGAGAGGAGAGAGAAAGAAGGAGAGAAGTAGTTAAAGTAGGAGAGAAGTGGATGGGAGGTGTAGATAAGTGTATTGAAATGATAGTGTAAGTGCAAAGATGACAATCATGTGCATGTACATTACAAGATGAAGTAAAGTGTAATTACCTTTCCTTTTATGAGAACTCTGACAAATGTTGGATGTACCTCACAATCAACAAGAGAAGAATCCATGAACCTAATATGATAACAATAACATGTGTACATGCAGTTAATAATGATACTGTAAATTGGTACAAGGAAAATAAACACAAGTATTAAGTAAGTAGGATGTACACTTAAGACATAAGTGTATGTATAAATGATTAAGTATTAAAATATGTACATGTATTAAGGTAAATATACACTTGCCTTGGGCAGGAAACATCAAGTACAAATTGATTATTATTATCATCTTCCGTTAGATGAAAGTCATATCTAAAGATATAAGCTCAATTTGGATAATATTGTGAGTACAACGAGCTCTTACTTTCCCTCGTTGATGTTAAGCATGACACCATTTCTCTCTAACCTTCTCTCTCTCTGAACTGGTTTGGTTTCTTGCGTCCTGAGAAAGAGAGAGAGTGGGGGGTGGAGAGGGAGAGAGAGAGGAGGGAGGAGGAAAATGTGGAGTAATTTGAAGTAATATTATGCCAATTATACTTTGTTTGTCTCTTCTCTGACAGATGTTTATGAAGAGCGATACGTGACTCAGGAGTATGTGATACAGGCTCTTTCATAAAACTATAACAAAATACAATAGTGTTACTAAACTATGTACACATCTACTTGTACATAAAAAGCTGAGAGAGCCTGAACTTAAGTCAATATGAAATCAGCAATACAAGTATACGTGTAAGTCTTTACTTTTCATCTTCATTGTCCTCAGTGTCTCTTTTATTATTAGTTGTTGCTCCATTCTCTGGACCAACGTGGGCATTAGGATCAGTGTACCATCGGGAATTAAAACCAGGCTTGCCCTTATCTCTTTCCTTCTCTTCCTCTCTCTCCTTCTCTCTTTCCTACAATAATTTAACAACTAAATTAATGAATGCTCATGGCCAGTATACAATGGATACAATATACATTGAGAACTGACAAGTATTGAGTCAGCAATAACAGGAATGTTGTGGTGGAGCTAAGCTGAGAACACACCTTACCATTACCACAAAAACTCATTAATAACATTTGGTCGCACAAACAACTTAAAGTCAATAACTCTTGCATAACACTTACCCTTTCTTCTTCATAAAGAAGCTGCTGTCTCTCTATACTTTGTCTTAACTCTGGGAGCTTCTATTAATATCAAATTGAATGTGTGTGTGTGTGAGTGTGTGTGTGTGTGTGTGTGTGTGTGTGTGTGTGTGTGTGTGTGTGTGTGTGTGTGTGTGTGTGTGTGTGTGTGTGTGTGTGTGTGTGTGTGTGTGTGTGTGTGTGTGTGTGTAGAGTAGAAATAAATGTATTAATACTAGTATCATACATACGTGTAAGATGCATGTACATGTACATGTTCACAAAATGAGCTAACACTGTTTGTACAGTACATAAGGAATATCTGTACACTAATCTAAATGTGCATGTACATGTACTGTATTCTAATAGTGCTATGTACTAATGCACATGTACAATGATAATGTGATGATAATGTGATGACTTTGTTAAGTTTATTTGTTCAATGGTCGCTTACTTGAAGAGCAGTGATTCGTTCAGATTTAGTGATCTCTCTACCATCAAGCCACTGGAGCTGAGGCAATGTAGCAATTACGAAATCACGATATCCTTCATAGTCAGTGCAAGGATTACCAGTGAGGTAGCTATAGGGAGATTCCAATCAAAATTTAATTTTATACTCCAAAAGTTGGTCAAAAACCATGGGCTATAGTACATGGTCTCGGGCCAAATTTTGCCAAAAATGAAAAGGAAAGAATTCTTCACTTTTATTACATTTCCTGATACATATACATGTACTTATGTTGTATAGAAAGTTTGAGCTGATTCTGATCAAAATTGGATTTTTTATGAATTTTTGAAGTTGCTCCAAAATCGAGTAAAAGTCCCTGTACTATAGTACAGGGATTTCAGCCAAATTTTGCCAAAAATGAAAAGGTGAGAATTCTCCATTTTTATTACATTTCCTGATGCATATACATGTACTTATGTTGTGTAGAAAGTTTGAGCTGATTCCGATCAAAATTGGATTTTTTACGAATTTTTGAAGTTGCTCCAAAATTGAGTAAAAGTCCCTGTACTATAGTACAGGGATTTTGGCCAAATTTCGCCAAAAATAAAAAGGTGAGAATTCTCCATTTTTATAATTTTATCTGATGCATATACATGTTCTTATGTTGTGTAGCAAGTTTGAGCCAATTCCAATTAACTTTGAATTTTTTTACGAATTTTTAAAGTTACTAAAAAATCATATAGAAAGGCCAAAGAGAGATGCAGTGACATTATGATACTATAGAGAAAGGAGAGGGGGAGGAGGTGGAGGAGGAGAATGACAAACAAGACTAACAAGATTACAAATGCACTTACATTTCCTTTAGATGTTCGTTAACTTTTAAAGACTCTATACTCAAGAGATCTCCAATGAAATTAACGGTAAAATCTAATTTCTGCAAAGACTCACAACCTTAAAAATAAGGAAAAGGTAATTTTAAAAATAAAAATAATTATAGATACATGTACAATCGTATATTAGGTGTCAAGGATTAATGATAAGTTAAATTAATACTAAAATAAACTAATAAACAATAATACGAGTACAATACGTGACCTTCCTCTCTCCCTCTGATGTGAAGGAACATGATGACACAAATACTTACAAGACAGTACAACAAAACATAAACAAAGTCATATCGTACATACAACTTAAATTCACACGTACATGTACATATATTTTATATGTATATATACCTGTACATGTACATGTACTGTGTGTATATGTACTGCAGTTAATGTACATGTATGCCTTATATGGACATGTACATTGTATGTCCTTATATGGACATGTACATTGTATGCCTTATATGGACAGTACATGTATGTCCTTATATGGACATGTACATGTATGTCCTTATATGGACATGTACCTGAGAGGTTTTCGATCTTTGTGATATTGTTAAGAGCTAAGTTAAGATATTCCAAATATTTAAGCCTCCCGACATTTTCTGTAGGAACATAACAAAATGAATAATCTGCATGTACATAAACAATTATAATTTATGTGTATCATTAATTAATTAATTATTAATTAAAGGGCCCCACCTATTTTAGGAATGAGGTTACTCTGAAGGTAGAGTATCTTAAGGTTTCGGCACCATTTGTCCAGATGCTCAATCCTAATGTTGCAAAGAAAGTTAATAATAATGATGATAAAATGGAGTCATTCAATACTTCTCTATATCTTGTTGGTGTAGGGATATTTCTTCTAGTGTCGTTATTTCAAGATTATTGTGTTCTGATCTTCTTCTAATGAGCTCCTCAGTTACTGAAGAGAAATATATAATAAATAATTAAAAGATAATGAATTTGAGGTGGAACTTACTTCTGGCCATAATGTTTTGTAACTATGAGAAACAAAATAGTTTTGAAAGGGTTAAAAATAGTCTCGCTCATTTTTAAATTTGCCGCCGAAAAGAGGTGGAGTCTCGACGTAAGATCAATTCACAGTAAGACTCAACAAATTAAAAAAACAAGGGTAATAAACTGATGATGGCTCTAACTACATAAGCTACACATATTAGGAACTAAATAAACAATAATTATTGCAATTCAAAGGTCATATGCTTGTTGATTTTATTTGACGTATAACTCATACAAACGAACAAGTACATCTTCATTGGTCCATGGCTCATCACAGCATATCCTCAACTCAAGGTAATCAGTAGATGTAGCATTACCATAATCTCTGTAGAACCATGGGGGTGGCGTGATGTTTTTTGGTTCACAACAAGCTGATTCAATACCTGAACAAAAAGTGCCATCCCACAATTGATCCCAATAATAAGAACGAGTAATATTTGGCACACCAAAGCTCCCTGACTCACAATAATAATAATTTCTAACAAAACTGGGAACATTAGCATTAGCATTACCATTACTGCAGGGACAGCTTGCTGCTACACTTGAACTCCATGCAGCTATATAAGACCAGACATGTTCACGAGGTGATCCACGTGTAATGCTAACACCATCAAGGTAAGGAGAATCAATGCTTGTGTTGCTCCTAATACCATCTGTTGTACCTCTCTGGTATCCAAGTACTCTACCACATATTTGAGTATAGCTTTTGTTACCTGTTAAGAACTTTACAGACCTGCATGTACCATTAGAATTGTATGGTAATCCACAAACTCTATAGTTCACATAGCCAGAAAATTCCTCTGGACAGTTTTGTGTAATATCAGACATATCAAGGTAAGCTATTCTTGTCCATCCTCCTTCTTGTCCACATAATTCATCCATGTTACAGTAAATTTTGCGACTGTTGATGTAATAATAACCTGTTAGACTGTTGGGTTGCAATTCTTTTATGCTTTCGCATGAAATAGGATGAAAGAAAGAGACACCATGCTGTAACTCCAATAATTCATCAACCGTTTGTTGTATATCATTAAAGATTGTAGTATTTAGTAATTGAAGAATTGTTTCTGCAGACATTTTGGTGATATTGGTATGCCCTTTAATCTCATTCAAAACAGAATTCATTTTGTCTTGTAGAAGCAATGAGTTGTTGGTATTCTGTTCTGAAATGTAATCCATTTTACTCTGGAGAAGAGTCACATTATTTTCAGCTGTACAATTGCCATTGGTGAGCCCAGCACTTGCACCAGTATAATTGCTTGCAATTGTACAATTACATGAAACTTTTGATGCCAAGTAAAACAACATGGCCAGTATACTCACCAGCAGTAGCAGTATGAGTACCAATATGATGATAAGTAAGACCTTCCCTACAGTACATTGAGGAGATTTAGCAGCACTATCTCTTGTATCAACTGATTTCCTATTCAGAACTTCATAAGGCGCATCATAAACTTGAGCAGATGCAGTTGATTTTTGATTTGAACGCAATGATGGGCCAGACTGATGTGAGAGATGAGAATAGTCTCCAAACTCTGACTCTTGATACCTTACATTATCATCAACTGTCTGTGGTATTTGAGAAGAGGGGAGGTTCAGCTGAGTACCATGATTATCAGCACAGTCATATAGAGGACTAGTTGGTATGTAATTCTTGTTCTCCATCTCTAGCGCTTACTTAATAACTGTCTTGTTGCATGTGTTTACTTCATTTATGTGTTACTCGACTAGTCACTTGATCTACCGTAACTGAAAGAATAGCAAATTGTATGGCTGAAATGGAAATGCAGCAACATACAAGATAAAGACAGTTTATTTAGGATCAGGCAAAGTTAACAGTGTGACATATGCACATGTTACAACTTACAACAACATAAAGATGTAAAAATGAGCAAACATCTAAACCTTGATGTGGTCAAATGAGTAGCTACCATTATTTAAACTAATGATTCAACCGGTTTAACTGAGTACCATGATTATCGGCACAATCATAAAGAGGAGTATAGCCTTGTTTTCTCTTTTTTACAACCATTTTATTTATTTGCTACTCAATGTGCAATCAACACATGCATTGTCTTGGCTTGTAAAGTGAAAGAATAATGTTGTCTTCAAAAAGGAAATGCAGCACTAGCTACTATATAATCACACTGTGTAAAGAGGTGGAGTCTTAACGTAATTCACAATAAAATTAAAATCAATAAATTTTAAAATAATACTGATGATGGCTCTAACTACATAAACTATGCATATTAGGAACTAAACAAACAATTATTATTACAATTTAAAGGTCATCTGCTGTTTATTTTATTTGATGTATATCTCATTGATCCTTCTTCACAGTGTGTTGCTGCATGGGTGCACATTTTATTTGTTACTCAACACTAATGTGTTTGCCATACTGTTGTGTACTAACACGTGAACAGACCACGATAGTGACCGATAACAATTCTCAGTTTATAAAAGAAATTATCTTTGTAACAAAACAGTACACAACCAGAGAAGTAAAATAGCACATGCAAAGATAGACAATGGATGCACACAAAAGAATAAAAGAGCCGGTTGCGCAGGCCCAGGTAATAACTATAATAGTTACTAAACCAAAACAATAATTACAGAAATTAATAAAACATAACACATACTGTAACTGAAAGAATAATAAATTGTTGCTTTTGTAGCACCATACAAAATCAAAATTGTTTATCAGGGATTATAAAGTAAGCAGCATGACATGTCATCAACAACATTATAACATAAAACAAACAAAATATCAACTGAGATTAAAGTTGTCTGAATCACATACAAATGATAGTTAATTATTATTTTAAAATGGAACTAAAATATACTACTCAAATGTTAAATGGCAATCAACAAAACTTTCACTAGCTACCAATAAAAGACAAATGCATGAAATAGTTATCATTTGATGTAAATCTCATACAATTCAATAAGAATGTCTTCCTTACTTTGACCTGCACTACGACAAACTCTTAGCTCAATATCACTGGAAGATGAAGCATCATAAACTCTATGAAACCATGGGAGATTTTCTGATGTACAGCAAGGAGATTCAACTGAAGGGCAATCTTTACCATCCCACAATGGATCAGGGTAAAATTTAGAATTACTTGTTTCTGGGGAGTTATTTCCTGACTCACAGTAGTAGTGCTCTCCAATGAAATCTGGAACTTTAACAGTAGATCCATTATTGCAAGGACAATTTGAATCGAGATTTGTTGAAACACTTGATGTCTGTCCAGCTACAAAAGACCAAATATGTTCACGAGATTCAGACCCACGTGTGATACTGACACCATCCAAATAATAGGAATCAATACCTTCGCTCTCTTTAGTGCTGTGGTATAAAGCATCAGGTTTGCCTTTTTGGTATCCAATCACTCTACCACAAATCTGAGTGTATGGAATGCCATTTGTCGAAAGATTCAAAGCACTGCAACCAGCAGCTCTTTCAATTTTTCTACAGGCCCTAATGCCATTATTTTCTTCAGGTTCAAAATTAGAAGGACAATTCTGTGTAGGGTCAGACATATTGAGATAACCTAATCTTGTCCATCCTCCTTCCTCTCCACACAACTCCTCCATATTGCAGTACACAGTCTTATCAGTGTTTACAGAATAGTAACCTGAAGGACTGTTAGGTATACGATTGATGTCACGACACGAGGCTGGATGTAAAAACAAATATTTTAAATCTAAAATTTGGTTTACAGCAAGCAATACCTCATTATACTTATCAGTACAATTATTGTGACTTGTAAGAGTTAGGCCAGGGCCATTACTACCTGTATATATACCACTTGTACCATTCTTTGATGACACCACAGCCAATATACTGACCAAGAAGATCAAGATGAGTATTAGTAGCACAAAAAGTGACACCTTCTCTATAGTGCTGCACCAAGCAGTCTCCTGCTGACAGATTGCAGTGCTAACTTTCGGTGCAGATCTTGCATTATCTGATTCTTTATTAAAAACTTCATAAGGTGCAGCATAAAGCTGAGCAGATTCGCTTGATGGCTTTTGATTTGATACCGGCAGCTGTTGTGATAATGACCCAGAATGTGAGAGACGAGAATAGTCACCAAGCTCTGATTCTTGATGCCTTGCATCATTGGTAACATGTAGTATTTGTGAAGAGGCTTGGTTCAGCTGAGTGCCATGATTATCAGCACAATCATACAGAGGAGCAGTTGGTATATAATTCTTGTTTTCCATCTTTACAACCAGCACAATGGACAGGCTTGTTTGTGTGCACTTTATTTATTTGCTACTCGACGTGCAATCAATACATGCATTGTCTAGGCTTGTAAAGTGAAAGAATAATGTTGAGGTGTTGACTTTAAAAAGGAAATGAAGCAGATTATGATTATATGTACACTGAGTATGGGGTATTGAAATTGTTTATCAGGGATAGATTATCAGGCAAAGTATTTAAATAATAACATTGCAAAGTGAAACAACAAGAGCTGTGAATCAATACATGCAATGCATCATGCATGTATTCATTATACATGCACAACCATGCAATTTTAATTTTTAAAATAGTCTTGCTCATTTTTTTATTTTGCCGCTGAAAAGAGGTGGAGTCTCAACGTATTATCAATAATTATTGTATCTATGATCACAATAAAATTAATATCAACAAATTAAAAAAATAAAATTGATGATGGCTCTAACTAAAATTATGCATATTAGGAACTAAATAAACAATAATTATTACAATTCTGCTTGTTTATTTTATTTGACGTATAAATCATACAAATTGACTAGCACATTTTCATTATATGATCCTTCATCACAGCATATCCTCAACTCAAGGTAATCAGTAGATGTAGCATTATCATAATCTCTGTAGAACCATGGGAGTGGAACATCACTTAATTTAGAACTACAGCAAGCTGATTCTATAGTTAAGCATTGATAACCATTCCATAATTGATCCTCACGATAAGAAAGAGTAATATTTGGCACACCAGAGCTCCCTGACTCGCA